TAAATTCTCCCCTTAGGTCTGTTAATAGTTGCTTTTTGTACTTTGGTGCTCCTGTGTTAGGTGCATATATATGTACAAGTGTTATGTCCTCTTGGTGGAATGCCCCTTTTATGATTATATACTGCCCCTCTTTGTCTCTCATTGTAATTTTTAACCTGAAGTTTGCTTTGTCTGGTATAAGTGTGGCAACACCTCCTGTCTTCTGTTTGCCATTAGCTTGGAATATTGTCTTCCATCCTTTTACTCTGAGCCTATGTTTGCCTTTAGAGCTGAGATGTGTTTTCTGGAGGCAGCATATTATTAGGTCTTGTTTTAAATCCATCCAACTCCTCTGTGTTTTTTGACTGGATAATTCAATCCGTTTACATTTAGAGTGATTATTTATATATAACGGCTTACTACTGCCATTTTATCTCTTGTTTTCCAATTGTTCTATGTTTCCATTGTTCCTCTTCCTTTGTATTTCTGACTGCCATTTCATTTTTATGTCTTTCTTGGAGGTTTTCTCAGTTTTCTCTTTTTTTAATGAATTGTAGCTCTGCTCTGATTTTTTCTTTAGTGATTGCTCTGAGGTTTGTGTAAAAGATCTTGTAGATGAAATAGTTCATTTCTCCTAGCCTCTTATCTCCTTTGCCTAAGCAGGTTCCACCCCCTTTCTCCTCCCTTTCTGAGTTATTTTTGTCACAAATTATTCTTTTATCGTGTGAGATTGTGACTAAGCTGAAGTGTTTATAATTACTTTTGATGCTTTCCTTCCCTTTATCTTTCAAGTTATAATTGAGTATTTGCTTTCCTGTTCTGATATAGAGCTGCAGTTTTCTGATTTTGTCTGTCTGCTTATCTCCTTGCTCAAAACTTTGTAGATGGTTGCCTTTTTGTTTCTGGTATGAGGGCATCTTTAATCATTTTTGTGAGGGAGGTTTAGTGGTGATAAACTCCCTCTGCTTTTGTTTATCTGGTAAAGCTTATATTGCTCTATTGTATCTGAAGGAAAGTTTCACTGAATGGAGTATTCGTGGCTGAAAGTTTTTGTCTTTCAGTATTTTGAATATACCATTCCATTCTCTCCTAGCCTGTCAGATTTCTGCAAGGAAATCTGCTGAAAGCCTGATATGGGCTTCTTTGTAGGTTATTTTCTTCTGCCTCAGTGCTCTTAATATTATTTCTTTGTTGTTAATGTTTTCCAGTTTTACTATTATATGCCTTGGAGAAGGTCTTTTAGGATTGATGCAATTAGGCATTCTATTGGCTTCATGTATTTGTAAACCTGGTTCCTTCCCCAGGTTTGAGAAGTTCTCAGCTATTATTTCTTTGAACAAGCTCTCTGCTCCTTTCTTCCTCTCTTCTCCCTCTGAAATACCTGTAATCCTTATATTGCTTTTCCTAATTGAGTCAGATCATTTTTAAAAAATCTTAGTTGTCTCTCCTCTGCCTCCTGTAGCATTCCTATATTTGTATCCTCTAACTCTCTAATTCTTTCTTCCATAACATCAGCTCTATTTTTTAAGGATTCTAGATTATTTTTATTTCATTAATTGTGTTCTTCATTTCCAGAATTTCTACTTGTTTTTTTTCATAGCTTTAATCTCTTTAGTGAAGTATTCCTTCTCCTCATTAACTTTATTCCTGAGCTCATTGAACTGTCTGAGTTTTCTTGTAATTTGTTGAGTTTCTTAATGACAGCTGTTTTGAATTTTCTGTCATTTTGATTGTAAATTTCTGTGCCTTCATGGTTGGTTTCTGGAGAATTGTTATTTTCATTCTGGTCTGAATTGTTGCTGTAGTTTCTTACAGTGTTTGATGAGCTAATCTTTTGTCAGTGCATTTGTGGTAGTATCAGGTCACAGATTCCACTCAATACCACTAAGGGGAAGCAGAAGCAGAGTTTCTGGACCCACCCCATCTGCTTGAAGTTGTTGAGGTACTGTGGGTGCTTGCCCCGGAAGGCTTTTTGGCAGATGTGTAGACTGTATTTGGTGGGTGGGGCTTCCTTGTGGGGTCTGAGCCTGGGCCACTCCTTGGGGCCACAGCAGTTTGGTGGACTTTCCCACTGCCAGGTAAGTGATCATGAGTGAGCTAAGGGCTGCCACCACATCTTCCTCCAGTCTCCTCAAGGTACATTCCTACTTCCAGGGTGCAGCAGTTCTATGGATGCTCACACAGGCTGAGAATGTGCTTGCCCCACCACGTAGATCTGCTGCCAATTCTTCTTGTGGTCCCACCAGCCACTGTGCTTGGTGGGATTGGCTTCATTGTGGGGACAGAGCCAGGGACACTCCTTGGGGCCACAGGGGCATGATGGGTTCCCCCACCACCAGGAAACCAGTCATGAGTGGGCTGAGGGCTGCCACTACCTCTTTCCACAGTCTCCCTGGGGTGCCTTCCCACATTTTGGGTGCAGGGGTACTATGGGCACTTGCACCAGGCTGGAAAGTGTTCATGCACGTGCACAGGGTTGCTGGGGAATGGCAGGGATTACTCACCTATCTACACCACTTCCCGTAGGGCCAGTCAATCCACCTTCAGATGTATAGCTGCGTGGGTCTCTCAGGTGTCCTGTTGTACTATGTGGGTTTCCTCCATTGGTCAAGGAATGTCCATTTAGTTGTAGGTCAAAGGAGGAGACATTAAGGGAACAGCTCACTCCACCATGTTGCTAATGTCACTCTCCCCTCAACCCTTGTTATTTTGTGTTTTCTTATTTTTTATAGTAGCCCTCTTAATGGGTGTATGATGATATTGTTGTGATTTTCATTTGCATTTCTCTTATGATTGGTGATGCTGAACATCTGTTTATATCCTTGTTAGCCATTTGTATATCATCTTTGGAGAAATATCTATTCAAGTTTTTGACCATTTTTTTTTTTTGTGGAAGATTAGCCCTGAGCTAACATCCACCTCCAATCCTCTTCTTTCCGCTGAGGAAGATTGGCCCTGAGCTAGCATTTGTGCCAAAGCATGGCTTGATAAGTAGTGTGTTGGTCCATACCCAGGATCCGAACCAGGGAACCCTGGGCCACCAAAGTGGAGCATATGAACTTAACCACTATGTCACTGGGGCTGGCCCCCCTTTGACCATTTTTTATACAGGTTATTTGTTTTTTTGTTGTTGAGTTGTAAGTGTTCTTTGTGTGTTCTGGATATTAACCCCTAATCAGATATATGATTTTCAAGTCTTTTGTCCTGTTCCATAGATTTCTTTTTCACTCTGTTGGTTGTGTTCTTTGATGCACAGAGGTTTTTAAATTTGTTCTAGACCCATTTGTCTATTTTTTACTTCTGTTGCTTGTGCTTCTAGTATGACATCCAAGAAATCATTGTTAAATCCAATGTCATGAAGTTTTTCCTCTATGTTTTCTTCTAGGAGTTTCCTAGTCTTAAGCCTTATATTTAGATCTTTAATTCATTTTATTAATTTTTCTATATGATGTGAGATAAAGGTCAAACTTCGCTCTTTTCCACTGGATATTCAGTTTTCCAAGCACCATTTTCTGAATGGTGCTTTCCCTACTGAGTGGTCTTGGCACCCTTCTCAAAGACCATTTGACTGTATCAGTAATATATTACTAATAGCAATAAATGAATAAATAAATAGAGATAAGTAAAAACTCTTCCTTATGGTAAAATCAATATAGAAGGAACAATGGAGTTCAATAATTATCAATGGATGGTAAAACTAATGGGTGAAAGTTTTATGAGGACCAAGATACTTATAAAATCTCACAAGTACCTCCTCACAAATTACTTATTAATTACAAATAGAAGGATAATAACTTACAGTGGAAGAACTTGGAAGACAGCAGCTTAACAAAGTGATCCAAAAGTAACAGCACATTATTAGCACAAACTGACAAAACATCTCCTGAGAAGGACAACATCACTTCTGTGGCGTGTTTCAGAGTAAACACACAAACACACACAACAGCATGAAAGTGGTATGACAGAAGCTGGGACAATGGATATCCCAAACAGAGCACTTATTTTCATGCATATTTAAGCCATGAAATAAATAAATTAGATTCATACTCTTAAATTGAGATTTTAGAAATTGAGCGATGTTTTATAGTGTCTTGAGAGGCAGCATAGCATAGTGGTCAAGGGCATGGCCTCTGAAACCAAGTTGCTTGGATTTAAATCCTGTCTCATCACTTAGTTAGCTGTGTGACTTTGGACAAGTTAAATATCTATGCCTCAGTTTCTTCATCTGTAAAGTGGGAATAATAATAATCCTAAACTCACAGTGATCTTGTGAAGATTTAATTACTAAATCTATATAAGTTCTCAGAATAAAGACTCACACACAGTAAGCACCATAAAAGTGTTTGCTATTATTTATTTATTTATTTATTTATTACAGAAACCATCAGTTCCCAATGTTATGCTGTATCTAAGTATCTGATGCCCTCTTGGAATACAAGAAGCCTTTGCTTAAAAATCAGAAAACAAAAGCAAACAAGCAAAACAAAACCCAATTCTGGTTAAGGGCAGTGTTATGCACATAAGTGTTTACAATGAGCCTGGGGGAGGGTAAAGTCCTAATTTGTAAGTGCAAGTACTTCAAGCTACCATATGCTGTCACTGGATGTGGAGCTGGCAAGAGATGTACACAATCAGCTCTGGGAGCTGGTACTAGCTGGTTGTAGCACATCACTGGGAAGGTCTCATTCTCATTAGAATTTAAACGTGTTTTTGAAATTGCACCCTAAATTTTTAGATGAAAATTTGAAGATGTTAAGTTTTCCTGATGTATGTATTGTGAGCCTCACTTATAGCTCTTTTTTAGTTGGTGTGTGTGCATGTATGTTCATGTGTTTGCATGTGTGTGCTTTAGGCTAAGAAACCAAGCATTTGACTTATAGGATTATCTCTGTAAATAAATCAAAAAACCAAAATTACAAGAGATTAAAATATGAAAGTATGCTTGATTATCTATCTGATAATTTTACTTTCTATGAGAAAATATTTTAAGTGATTATTTAAATTTTTAAAAATGATCCTAGGTGTGTACTTCCAATTTGACGTGCCATTGTAAATCTGGCTACAACCCTCCAGATTGCCAAACACGTAGCAGAGAATCTTCTAGATTGCCTGGGAAACAGAGCAAGTATCCATCTTTACATATCCAGTTAATAAAATTCTCAAATATATTATCTCACAAAAACAAAATTAGATTTTTGCCACTTAGAAACCAGTATTTATAATTAAAAGGTAAATAGGCTTCTTTCAAGAAATGGAAACCAAATATGTCTTATTAATGTTGCTCTTTATTCTAATATTAACTCTCAAATTTAAGCTGGAAGTATCTTTAACATTTTTATTTACTGGTATCTTTGACTTTCTCCTTTAGAATATCCTTCAACCTTTCCCCTCTTTATGATTAATCTTGTGATCTCAGCTTTACACACACATTTACTCTGCATCTAGCACTGTTACTGTGTGTCTGTTATAGAAGAAATAAAGAAAATCAAATCTGAAGGAATTTACAGTTTAAGAAAAATCCATAAATTGCTGCTAAAGAGATGACAGAAGTGATGCTATCACGATTTTTCTGTTTGTTCACCATGACTTTAGTTTTTGTCGTTCATTCATTGATTTAACAAATATTTATTGAACTCTTAATATATGCCAGGTGAGGGTCATATGGCATGAGGATGTACAGTAAGAAAAACAAAGTCTCTTTCCTCATGGAGCTTAAAGAATATGTTAAGGTCATTATACCAGGTGCTAACTAGTGGTAGAATTAGGATAAGGAATCAAGTCTCCTGAATCTTTTTATGCCAGTATCGTTTTAGTAGCACTGCAGTGGCTTCATATATAAAAACAGACCCCTAATGTCAAAAAGCCAAGAACCTAATAAAGAAAATCAGGATATGCACAAATATAGTGAAATTCTGTAATAATTCACATTGTAAGTGCAAATTTGTTGGCTAACCTTGAGATTACATGGTCCCACATTACATATCATTGAAGTTTTGGGGCCCCACTTTATAGTGTTATAGTGAGATTTTGCTGCAGCAGCTGTATAATGTAGAATATCTTGGAACTTTCTGGAACTTGGTTTGTATTCTTTTTTTAATGAGAAGTTGTAGAGATCGTCCTAAGTATTATGATTCTATTATTATTTTCCATGTTCCTTGAACAGCAACAAAAATTAAGAACATTGTAGTTTGCTGCAACTTGAAAGTAAAAGTAGACAACTTAATTTTTTTACTCTGATTTTTAAATGTATTTTTATTTTTAGGTTTAATCATGGAAAGAGCTTTTAGGAAGGCTGAAAAAAACTGGTGGTTTCTAGGTCTCTACATTGGTTTACCTGTTCTCGTCATAGCAAGCATAATAGCGGTTGTATGGAATAATTTGAAAAAGTGGCTCACCAAGGAAGAGGAAGCCCTAAGTAGCAAGTAAGTTGAATTTGTGGTCCAAAGTTAAACTGTCAGTACCACTTCACTACTGTAATAGGGAAGGCCTCGGACCTCCACTCCTTCTAAGGAAGGGCTCTGAAATCTCTAGTCCCAAAGGTACGTCACTGGTTTAGATACCCCTGCAGTCATTCAGTTTTAGCTCCTGTTTACCCTCTGATTTCTCAGTTCTTTTCATTTTTATTAGCACAGGAGAAGTCTTTTCTTGTTGTTAACCTCAGTTGCATATTAAATGTTGTGTTACTTTTTTTCACCACTCCTCTTTGTGAGGAATGGCAGGTAAACTGGAAATGGGAATGGAAAGAGGAAGTTGCCCGATTGTCTAGAAGTTAGTATGGGTTTTCATTTACAAAATATAACATTTCTTTATCAATGACTGAAAAGTTAAAAGTTGGGGTGGAAAGTCAGAATCAAGCATTCAGGGTCTGTGTATAGTCTGTGTTCAGGAGTGATAAAGAATAAGCAAATCTGTGCCCTCTTGATACTCTGTTCCCTGTGGGATTTGAAACCTGTACTCTTTGTGGATGAGGTATGTGGGTAAATAAGAATGCTGTTTATTTGCATCTTTATTCAGTAACTTTGGATATTATTTTCTTTATTCGTAACTAGTCTTGTAAAAGAGATAATACTGCTTATAAAATCGCCTGACTTTTGTTAATGCAGTTGGCAGTCTTCTTAGGACTAACTTGAGACACTATTTTCTGTTTTTTAAATATTCAGCTCAGAAGGCAGCACTCACACATATGCCAGCAGGTAAGTAAGTTAGAAGGTGTCTTAAGATACATGTTGAAAATTAAGAATGAATTAATAATACACAGTTTCTATATATTTTTTGAACAGCTGCAATTGGTAAAGAAATGCACTGAAAACCAGGCTACTAATATATAGTAATTTAGTTTCTAGTAAATTAATATTTTATTCATTTAATAAATGTTTATTGGAAGTCTGTTCTGAGGAAACAAAGAATAAAATAGCTGATTCTAATAAGAGAAAGGATATGCATAATTAGTTAAAGAAAAAGAATGTGTAGTGCCTAGCAATGACCCAACTTGGGTTGTATTCATGTAGTGCTTGAGTTAACAAACAAGCAATGACTGACGTTTGACAGATTGTATGTGACAAAGCTCATGTATAAATTTCTATAATAATTGTGAGTTGAGGAGAACTAATTATATTGACCTATATTGCACTGTTCTATCATTAATAAATACCATTTTTGTCCCCATCCATGTTTCTTAGTCATAAATTCAGTCCTCACTGTTTTATAACTGCTATACCAATATTCTATTTATTAGATTTACATGATATAACTTTTCTATCTTCTTACTTTCAATCTTTTATTTTAGTTGGTCTCTTAAAAGCAGCCTGCCAATGGAATTTAAAAATATGTAATCTCAAGAGTTTCTCAATAGTTGAATTTAATATGTTTATATACTTATGTTTGCTGATATAATTAGACTAAATTCTATTTTATTTTTCTCTAGTTTATCATATTTTTCCAATATTTTCTTTTTCTACTTTCTTTTATTTCATTATATTGATTGTGCTTTCATTGTTTTTTCTTTCCTTCTGTTAATTTGGTCATTATATGTTCTAGCTATATTCTTTTAGTGATATTCTTTAATAAATTATATTATTATTTATTTAACTATTAAATGAAATGTAGTTAATTTTACAATTTTAAATAAAATAGGTACTTAGTCTTCTAGCAACATATGCTCATTTAACCCTATACTCTTGTTTTCACTCTTCCATATTATTATCATTTGGTATTTAGTTACTCCTGAATTTTAACCTGCTGCAAATGTCCTCATTATCATTATCATTACTGTATAAGGCAAAATGTATTAGGATTTCACTACATATTTACTACTTTATTTGCTCACCATTCTTTTTAAATGTCACTCCATCTTTTTATATTCAAACTCCCTTTTGGGAAGTACATCTGTTAGAATTTCCAACAGTGAGTCTGTGTGTAGAAAGCTGTTTATCTTATCCACCTGAAATTGCCTTTATTTTCACTCTTGATTGTGAGTTTGTGTAGTCTGGACTTTCAGGTTGAGTTATTTTGCCTCAGCTATTTGCAGGTGTGCCAGAGTAGCCTGGAATTTACTGATGATGATGAATCTTCTGTTAGTGTGTTGATTCATTTATTCCTTTATGGTTAATATGAGTTTTGTCTATAGTAGCCTTTGTATTTCTATTGCTGCATAACAAATTACCACACATTTAATGACTTCAAACAGCTTTCGTTTATTATGTCAAAGTTCTGTAAGTCAGAAATACAGGTGGACTTGTCTGGGTTGTCACAAGGCTGGCGTGAAGGCCAGGCTGGGCTCCTCGCTCATTCAGGTTATAAGCAGAATCTAATTTCATGCACCTGTAAGTCTGAGGTACCTATTTCCTTGCTGGCTGGTTGTAGGAGCCCTCCCTGCTCCTAGAGGCCACCTGCATTGCTTTTTATGTACCTCCTTTCATCTTCAAACAAGGGCATGTCAAATCTTCCTCAGATTCTGACTCTCTCTTACTTTCTCTTCTGCCTCCAGCAGGACCACCCGATCAGGACAGGCCCACCGAAATAATCTTTGTATTTTAAGGTCAGCTGATTTGGAGCTTTAATTACATTTGCAAAATCTCTTCAGAGAAATACTTAGAAGAGTGTTTGAATAACCAAGGAACAGGAATCTTAGGGGACCATCTTTAGAATTCTGCCTAACACAGCCTCTAAGATTTTTTCTTTCTCCTTAGAGTTGTTATTTCATTATAATGTGTTCTGGTAGAGATTTTTTTTTTAATCATGAACTGGATTCAGTATTTTCTTTCAGTGTGAAGACTCATGTTTTCTTCAATTTTTGGAAAGTCTTAGACTTCTTCTCTTCAAATATTGAGTCTCCCACATTCTAAATCTTCTGTCTGAATTCCTCCATTTTTCTTAACTGGTCTTTTATATATTATATTTCTGTTTACCTAGATTTCCCTAAACAATTTAAAAGTCAGCAATTCTTTTTTTTCAGTTCTGTCAGTTCTGGTTTAATGGATTCTGTTCTTTTATGGATCTCTATGGAAATCCTAAACATTCTTTTTTTGAAGCTTTTCTGTTATCTGTAATTCTTGGTGTATGAATTCTTTAGTTTGCTCTAGCTGTGGACATTACCTCTTTAGTGGCTTTTTTCTTTGATTATAAGGCCATTTTAAGTGGCAAGGATTGTCTCTTGAGAATTCTGCATACCCTGCATTGTAGAATGCTCTTTGTGGAGATTATTTCATATTTTACCCTCCTAAGTCATAAATTTTTACAGTACTTGTTACACCTGGAGTTTTAGAATTCAGAGGAAGCATGAATTGTTATCCTGAATCTATAGTTGGTAAAGGCTTAAGGTTCCTCTTTCTCTATGCGATATGTTTTCCATCCATATCCCTAAACCATTTTAAGCACTTAGATTTCCTGTGGCTCTGGGTGATCCATTTCCATCGATACTTCTGAAGCAGTTTTCCTGCTGCATCTCAAAGACTAACGGTAACAGCTTTTAGTGTTGCCATTTCATGGGTGGTGTGGCCTTTCATGGCTTCCAAGTTCAGAGAGGGAGGTCAGTTCCAGCTTTCTAGGAGGTCTCCACTCCTAATCAGCAGATGTGTGTAACTGATTCATATACCTCTGGAGTCATTCAGCTTTAGTTCCTATTTACTTTTGCACTTTCAACTTCCTCCTTATTTTTTTAAAATTATCATTAGAAATGTCCCTTTCTTTCTTTAAATTTTGGTTAATATTTTGTGGGTTTTTTTCACCATTTCTCTAAGTGTGGGATAGGAGGGGGAAATTACCCTGTCAGCCCTGTCTGATTGTCTAGAAGTCAGTGAGGGTTTTAAATCATGGCATTTAGTAATTTGTTTATCAGTGGGTAAAACATTAGATTGGAACCTGAAGGCTGGAATCAGGGCTTCGAAATTACGCATATGTTCTGTGCTGGGAAGTGATAAGGAGAAAAACAGATATGTTTTCTTGCTCCCCTCCGTAGTTGGAGATTTGATGTTTATAGCTTTATTGAAATAATATATGTGTAAATACGAATGCTAGTTATTTGTATACCTTAATTTAGTAACTTTTAAAAAATATTCATGAGTGGTGACTAGTGGTATAAACAAGTTAATGCAGGTTACAAAATGGTCTGACTTTCATTGGTTATGGAGGCACTTTTTTTTAGTATTAACTTGGAAGCAATATTTTCACTCTCATTTAGTTCTGGATCAGAAAGCAGCAGCCAAACAGATCCGGTCGGGTAAGTAAATTAGGAGATATTTCTTAAAATAAGTATGTGTTAAATATAAGATGAACAAATTGATAATCAACAATTAATTGCTAAGTATTAATTGAGCAGCAACAATTGGTAAGGTACTACACCAAAAAATAACCTATTAGCATTTGCCAATCTAGTAACTAGTGAGTACTTGTCTAGATAAATCAATGTCTTCTTTAGTTTGTTAACATATGTTGGGAATTTATTCTTGGGAAATAAAGGAAGAAATGATTGGTGAAATGTTTATGGAGCTAACTGATAAGTGGGGAAGTTTACTTTCTTTTCTTGTCTCTGGAGAGAATTTTATTTTATTGATTGATTTTTTTTGTGGTAACATTGGTCCACAACATTATATAAATTTGAGGTGTACATCATTATGTCTTGATCTCTGTGTGGAGTATACCATGTTCACCACCTAAAGACTAATGACAATCCATCACCACACACATGTGCCTTATCACCCCTTTCACCCTCCTCCTAACCTTTCCCCTCTGGTAACCACCAATCCAATCTCTGTCTCTATGTATTGTTTGTTGTTTTTATCTTTTATTTATGAGTGGTATCATATGGTATTTGACTTTTTCCCTATGACTTATTTTGCTTAGCATAACGCCCTCAAATTCCATTCACGTGGTCACAAATGGCAAGATTTCATCCTTTTTTATGGCTGAGTAGTATTCTATCATGCATATATACCATACCTTCTCTATCCATTCCTTCCTTGATGGGCACCTAGGTTGCTTCCAAGTCTTGGCTATTGTGAATAATGCCTCAGTGACCATAGAGGTATATATATCTTTATTCATTCATGTTTTCATGATCTTTGGATAAATACCAAGCAGTGGAATAGCTGGATGCTATGGTAGTTCTACTCTTAATTTTGTTAAGAATCTCCATACTGTTTTTCATAGTGACTGCACCAGTTGCACTCCCACCAGCAGTGTATGACAGTTCCCTTTTCCCCATATCCTCTCCAACACTTGTTATTTCCTGTCTTGTTAATTATAACCATTCTGACAGGCATGAGGTGATATCTCCTTGTAGTTTGAGTTGCATTCCCTAATAATTGGTGGTGTTGAACATCTTTTTATGTGCCAGTTGGCCATCTATATATGTTTTTTGGAGAAATATCTGTTCAGATCTTTTGCCCATTTTTTAGTTGGGTTGTTTGGTTTTTGTGTTTTGATTTTGTGTCCTGCAATTTTTCCTTATTCATTTGTTATTTGTAAAAGTTTTTTTGTGGATTCTTTAGGGTTTCCTAGATATAAAATCATGTCATCTGCAAATACTGACAGTTTCACTTCTTTCTTTTCAATTCAGATCTCTTTTATTTCTTTTTGTTGCCTGATTGCTCTAGCCAGGACTTCCAATTCTATGTTAAAATAGAATGGTGAAAGTGGGTATCCTTGTCTGGTTCCTCTTCTTAGAGGGATAGCTTTCAGTTTCCTCTCATTGAGAATGATGTTAGCTGTGAGTTTGTCATATATGGCCTTTATTATGTTGAGGTATTTTCCTTCTATATTCATTTTATTCACCGTTTTTATCATAAATGGATGCTGTATCTTGTCAAATGCTTTCTCTCCATCCTTTGAGAGGATCATGTGACTTTTATTCTTCTTTTTGTTGATGTGGTGTATCACGTTGATTGATTTGTGGATGGTGAACCATCCCTGCATCCCTGGAATGAATCCCACTTGATCATGGTGTATGATCTTTTTTAATGTATTATTGTGTTTGATTTGCTAATATTTTGTTGAGGATTTTTTCATCAATGTTCATCAGTGATATTGGCCTGTAATTTTCTTTTTTTGTATTGTCCTTGTCTCTTTTTAGTATCAGGGTAATTTTGGCTTCATAGAATGAATTAGGAAGCTTCCCCTCCTCTTCAATTATTTGGAAGAGTTTGAGAAGGATAGGTATTAAGTCTTCTTTGAATGTGTGGTAGAATTCACTAGGGAAGCCGTCTGGTCCTGGACTTTTATTTTTTGGGAGGTTTTTGATTACTGTTTCGATCTCCTTACTGGTGATTGGTCTATTCAAATTCTCTATTTCTTCTTGATTCAGGTTTGGAAGGTTGTGTGATTCTAAGAATTTATCCGTTTCTTCTAGATTATCCAATTTGTCGGAGTATAGCTTTTCGTAGTAGTCTCATATAATCTTTTGTATTTCTGAGGTGTCTGTTGTAATTTTTCCTCTTTCATTTCTGATTTTATTTATTTGAGCCTTCTCTGTTTTTTCTTGGTGAGTCTAGCTAAGGGTTTGTCAATTTTGTTGATCTTTTCAAAGAACCAGCTCTTGGTTTCATTGATTTTTTCCTATTGTATTTTTAGTCTCGATTTCATTTATTTCTGCTCTGATTTTTATTATTTTCTTCCTTCTACTGATTTTGGGCTTTATTTATTCTTCTTTTTGCAGTTCCTTTATGTGCACTGTTAGATAGTGTATTTAGATTTTTCTTCTTTGTTGAGTTAGGCCTGTATTGCTGGGAACTTTCTTCTTAGAACTGCTTTTGCCTTATCCCATAAATTTTGGCGTGTCCTATTTTCATTTTCATTTGTCCCCAGGTATTTTTTGATTTCTCTTTTCATTTCTTTGTTGATCCAATCATTGTTCAGTAGCATTTTTTTTAATCTCTACCTATTTGTAGCTTTTCCAATTTTCTTCCGGTATTTCATACTGTTGTGGTCAGAAAAGATCCTTGGTATTATTTCATTCTGAAATTTATTGAGACTTTGTTTATAGTCTAATATGTGATCTATCCTGGAGAACATTCCATGTGCATTTGAAAAGAATGTGTATTCTGTGGTTTTTGGATGGAATGTTCTGTATATATCTACTAAGTCCATCTGGTCTAATGTATCATTTAATGCTAGTGTTTCTTTATGATCTTCTGTTTGGATGATCTATCCATTGGTGTAAGTGGAGTGTTAATGTCCTCTATTTTTATTGTGTTGCTGTCTATTTCTCCTTTGATGTCTGTTAATAATTGCTTTACATATTTGGGTGGTCCTAGGTTGGGTGAATAGATATTTAGAAGTGTTATATCCTCTTGTTGGACTGTTCCCTTTATCATTATGCAGTGCACTTCTTTGTTTCTTTATTTTGATTTTTAAAGATTGGCACCTGCGCTAACATGTGTTGCCAATCTTTTTTGTTTTCTTCTTCTTCCCAAAGCCCCCAGGTGCATAGCTGTATATTCTAGTTGTGAGAGCCTCTGGTTGTGCTATATGGGATGCCACCTCAACATGATCTGATGAGCAGTGCCATGTCCCCACCCAGGATCCAAACCAGTGAAACCCTGGGCCACTGACGTGGAGCATGCAAACTTAACCACTCAGCCATGGGGCTGGCCCCCTTTCTATTTCTCTTGTTACAGTTTTTGTTTTAAAGTCTATTTTTTCTGATATAAGTATTGCTACCCTTGCTTTCTTTTCATTGCCATTTGCATTGGGTATCATTTTCCATCCCCTCACTTTCAGTTTGTGATTATCTTTAGGTCTGAAGCGTGTCTCTTATGTGCAGCATATACATGGGTCTTGTTATTTAATCCCATCAGCCACCCTATGACTTTTATTGGAGCATTGAATCCATTGACATTTAAAGTAGCTATTGATAAGAATCTTACTTTTTTTTCTGGTTGTTTTAGTAGTTCTACTTCTTTATTTGGAGACTCTACAACTAGAAACTCAATATGTATGCTCATGAACTCCTGAGTGAATGCTTACTCTGGTCACTTAGCAAAAAGTTGCTGAAGAAAAAATCATAAAGGAACAATAATTCTACATCTTCCATAGTCTCTCAGTATTGCAAAGTAGTTTTAATTAGATCCTCCTTCATTTCCTGAAAGGTGGATATCCCTGTATTACAATAAGTGTTTAGTTTGCCACATCCAACAGTTTTGGATTTGAGGTCCTTCTGCAGATATAAAGTGTTTTGGGTTTTTCCCCCTTCCCTCTCTGACTTAGAGTCTTAAGGAGCTGTCCACTGCTATTCAAAACACACACAGATCTATTGAGTAAACTTTCTAGGCTACAGAACAAGATTGTATAATTTCTCTTATTCTAGAAGAGGTCTTCCTCTTCAATAAGAATGCATGCTTTTATTATCATTTTTCTCTCTTTTATTATTATAATGATACTTTGGAATCATGAGTTAGTATCACTAAACTAAAAATGTTTATTTTCGTTATTGTACCCTCCCTGTATCAGGGAGTTATGTGGTGCTCAAACAGCAAATCTCAGTTACCTTTTCCTCACCTTGAATATATGTCTTATTATACTCTGTTACCTCAGAAGGCAAAGGCCATGTTTATCTTCCTCAGCATTGTATAGTCAGCATGTAGCAGAGTTAATGGCTTATTTAAAGTGCTCAATAAATATTTGTTGAGTGAATGAATGAATGAATGATTACTTTTCATCTTCTCTACACACACACAGGCAGCCAAACAAAAAAACTCACAAATACAAAAGTACATAGATAAATACATACACACCCATGCATACACACACATCCATATATCTACAATGTTATAACTGTCCCTGTTTCTTCCTCTCTCATTATATTGTCTTTTATTCTCTAACCTTGTCAACATAATTAATGTCTCCTCTGATCATTGTTCACCTACAATGAGTGAGGGATCATAGCATAGGAAAATGCACATTTCAATTGGAGTAGTGTTGTTTGGAATGTTAATCCTCTAGTGTAGCCTTTTGGCTTGGTGAGCACCAGGGAACATTTTTAGGATAATTATTCATTTAAATTTTAATAATGTCATTTGACACTATAGCTGTGCTTTCTGACATAACATCCATTATAGTTTTCAGGTGACTTATTTTTGGAATAATCTTTATCTGACAGAAAGTCAGTGGGAAAGGCTGTTGAAGTCAAAGAATGCAGGGGGTTGGGGTGAAGCCCAGCAGTGGTTATATTAATACCTCTCTGGCATAATTAATTTTTGAATGTCTAAATTCAATCAGTATTTA